CATTTCAGCCAAAGAGACAGTGAATGACCGTTCGGCCCCCTCTCTCTGATTAGAATGTGTGTGTGGTTTTTGTGTGTGCTTCTTCAGTTTGTTCTGTGCTCGGGTCATGGTTACGCGGTTTTTTTGTCGTTGTTCGCTGCTCCTTGTGATTTTAGGTGATTTGCATCCGGCATAAGGAGTCGAATTGCAAGTGGCCCACACAGCCGAACCGACGGTCACTCCACTCACGCAGAAGCAATCCTGAAGCACATCCTCTACATGATGAGTGCGTTTGTGAACCCGCCGCAGATGGAGCTGGAGGGGGAGGAAGAGAGTCATTATTCTGCGGAAGATGAGACTGAGCAGGAGGAGGACGACGTTGATGGGGATATGGGGATAAGAGACAACAAGGAGGCTAGCGGACGAAGAGAAATTGCAAAATTCGCTTCTGAGGTAGATCTTGAAGGTTCTCCAATTTTTTTTTTTTCTCTCTCTCTCTCTCTCTCTCTCGGGCTTGCTTGCAACAGCACGCAGACTGGTGGTGTGCAGAGGCATGCGTGGAGCCGCCCTGAGCGAAATGGTCAAGTTATCAGCTGGCGTCCCCTCCCTCCCCCCAAATGACCCGTGTTATTGCCAGAATGTTGGAACCACCTTGCAAGCGCAGCAAGGCAATGCATTGGCGTTGGCATTGGCAGCGGGCTCACCTTGCTCAGTGGCGCATGCGAAGCGAATCCAGGGCTATCTTTGGTCAGCCGCAATGCGCACAGTAGTATGTACACGGACTGCTGGTATTCAGGGCCTGCTGATTTGACACGCGAGGTCGCAGGTGAATGATCTTTTTTCATATACGTGGTGAGGTTTTCTGATGCATGGGCCTAGACGTCATGGCATATTCACACTGAGCATGTGCATCCTGACAGAAGTGATATTGCCAAGCATGCCGATTCGCAACTGACCAAGCTTGAGCCTTGAGATTGAGGCGGTCTGGGTCTCAACGCGGCCAGAAGAACGCCATCCATCGCCAAGGACTGTACCACCATCATAATATCGAATGCCTATACGACCACACTTCGGGTGATAAGAACGAGCGCGATCTGTGGTCGCTTGGAAGGGGGAGGGATTGAACCGGACCCCCCCCATCCCCTTCCTCCCCTACTTCTCCTCTCTCCCTCTCCTCGGGCCAGCGCCTGCGTCGGCGGCGGTTGGCGGCGGCGGCGGCGCGGCGGGGACGACGATTTCCTTTTCTGGGTCGGCGCCAGCGCCTGCGGCGGCGGGTGGCGGCGGCGGGGAGACTCGACGAGGACGACGGTAGTGGTGGTGGTGGTGGTGGTTGTGGGTTGTGGAGGTGGTGGTGGCGGTGGTGGTGGTGTGGTGGTTTGTTGTGGTGGTAGTGGTTGTGGTGGTGGGTGGTGGTGGTGGTGGTGGTGGTGTGGTGGTGGTGTGGTGGTGGTTTGTGGTGGTGGTGGTGGTGGGTTATGGTGGTTGTGGTGGTGGTTTGGTGGTGGCGTGGTGGTGGTTTGTGGTGTGGCGGTGGTGGGTTGTGGTGGTGGTGGTTTGTGGAGCTGGTGGTTGTGGTGGTGGTGGCGGTGGTGGTGGTGGTGGTTCGTGGTGGTGGTGGTGGTGGTGGTGGGTTGTGCTGCTGCTGGTAGTGGTGGTGGTTGTTGGTTGTGGCGGTGGTGGTGGTGGGGTGGTAGATTGTGGTGGTGGTGGTGGTAATGGTGGTTTTTTGTTGTGGTGAAGGTGGCGGTGGTGGTGGTGGTGGTGGCTGTGGTGGTGGTGGTGGTGCTTGTGTGGTGGGTTGGTGGTGGTGGTGGTGGTGGTGGTGGGTTGAGGCGGTGGTGGTGGTGGTGGTAGTGGTGGTGGTGGTAGTGGTGGTTATCGTTGCTGCGTCCCCGCCGTCGCCGGCGCCAGCGCCGGCGCTGCTGGCCGCCGCCAGCGCCGGCGCCGCCACGGGGGGGCGGTTGAACCCCCCCTTTCCTTCGGCGCCAGAGGGGGGGCGGTTTGACCCCCCCCCCCTCTTGGGCTGCCTCTGGTCATCGTCGCTGCGTCCCCGCCGTCGGCGCTGCTGGCAGCCGCCGGCGCGAGCGCCGAGGGGGGGGGCATGGGGGGGAGGGGAGTCCCTCTGGTTTTGATCGACGGCGCCGACTGTTGGGGGGGCCCACCCCCCGGTTCGAAACGCGCCGCCGAATGCTCCCAAGGCAAGCGCCCGTGCAACGCGTTCTCTCCTTAGATGATCGGGGAAGGGACTAACGTCTCCCCGAAGTGATCTCACTATCCATCCTACTAATCATCGAGCTCACCACTGATTTCACCATCGATTGCACTATCCATTTCACTACGTGACACCGACGGGCAACCGACGGGACATCACTATCGCTCTCATGATCGTTTTTGTCCGATTGGTCCTTCTACCAGTTGCACAGTTGATCTCATTCCCCCTCTCATTACCGATATCCCGATCGATCCCTCTATCGACCTCACTTCTCCACATCAGAGTCGATCTCACTACCGATTTCACTGTCGATCTCACCATAGACCTCAACATAATCCCACTGTCGATCTCACGATCGTTCGCATCACCGGCTGCACTCTTGATTTCACGATCGCTTTCACGATGGATCTGATTACGGGACACCGACGGGACACCGAAGGAGTACCGACGGGACCCCGACGGGACAGCACGGCGGGACGTCAACCCCTGCCTTCGCCCGCGGACACCGACGGGACACCACGGCGGGACACCACGGCGGGACACCCATGGCCACGCCGGCCCACCAGAGGGGCGGTCTTTTTGTCTTGACCCCCCTCTGGTCACAGCGGAGTCATTCCTCCCCCCCGTCCACGCAGCTTCGTTTCACACGCATGCGCGACACGAACCCGAAACCGAAACGGATTTCCCTTCTAGGGGGTACCCGTTAAACTTCGATCTCGCCCCCTAATGTCCGCGCATAGTTTCTCTTAGCTCCTTTGCTTCATATCCCTTTCTCTTCCCTCGCCTCATACCCTCAATCCCTTGCCACATGCTCATCATGCATCCTTATTTCTCGCCCCCACCGTGCTCTTATGACCACTCATGTTCATGAACCCCCCCGTTTCTTCTGTCCCTATACCTATACGATCACCCTGCGGGTGATAAGGAGGTTGGGGGGGGGCCCAGCAAGTGGCAACAGTGGTGAATGTTGTTGTGACAGTGCCAGTGGCGATAGTTGCGTTGCCGCTCGCTCTTGGGGGCGTTGGTGTCGAGTTGTTTACGTCACCTTTCCCCTGGGAACCTGCCCGGCCTGCGCAACGGCAGCTAACGGCGCCATTGGGCCACAGAAGATTGAAGCGCTGGCAAACCTTGGCGCAGCCCGCGCCGCCTCTTGCATTATCGATCTCAGTATCGATCTCTCTATCGGTATCACTCAATCGAACTCACTCGATCAATCTCACCATCGATTTCACAATCGATCTCATCATCGATCTCTCTCGGCCGGTCTCATTATCGATCTCACCAGCGACCTCACAATCGATCTCACGATCGATCTCACTATCGGTTCCCCTAACGATCTCCCTTTCGATCGCACTCGATCGATCTCACTGTGGAGATCACCGTCGATCTCACACACGATCCCACCATGCCGCTCGACACACATGCCGCTCGACACACATGCCGCTCTCTCGTCGTGTCTCCGCCCATGCCAGTCGACACGAAGACTCTTTGCGCAAAATCGGCAGCACGGCCGGGACACCGCGCAGCACCGGCCGCCCGGTCAAGGTTTTTTTGCCCCGGCCGCGCCTCAGCCACACGGGACACCAGCGGGACACCAGCGGGACACCGCGCGGCACCGGCCGCCCGGTCAAGGTTTTTTTGCCCCGGCCGCGCCTCAGCAGCCACACAGGACACCAGCGGGACACCGGCGGGACACCGCGGGGCACCGGCCGCCCGGTCAAGGTTTTTTTGCTCCGGCCGCGCCTCAGCCACAGGAGAGTTTCTTTCGCCCGCCCACGCAGCTTCGCCTCGCCCGCACGGCACGCACGAACACGAAACCGAAATCGATCTCCTGGTACGGGGGCTCTCCGTTCCACTTCGATCTCGCCCCCCAACTTCCGATCCATTGTCTCCTTCGTGATCTTCACTCCATCCCATCTCTGGCGGGCCTGGGCCTGGCCATCTTTTTCCATCCTCTTCCTGCACTTGTGTGGTCGCCGCGCTTTTCCCTCATCGTCCGGTGCGCGCCGAGCACGTGAGAACCGGCAGGCCCCGCGTGCAGCCCGTCAAGATGCCCCGCTCGGACTGCACGCCTTCCCAGCTCGCGCCAGGATCGAACGAGGCCGAACAGGTAAGCTTCCCTTGCTCTCGTTGGGCGTATCGCTGCTAACGAGGGCCTGGGCTGCAAATGGTTCCTGTCAGGAACGGGTCCTGAGGTTCTTTTCTACGCTGTTTGTATCCAGGGCCCGTCTCCCCCAGGACTTGCTCGCTTCATGCTAGCTCTGTTTCCAGGTCACCCGCAAAGGTGCGGCGAAGACAATCGCGCCTCGCGGTCTAAGCGGCAGATGTGCCCTCCTCCTCGGCGGCGGCGCGGGCATCACGGGGCGCGGAGCGCGAATTTGGGCGTGTTGGCTGCCCGCTCCTGCTGTTCCATGGATGTTTGTGGGCCCTTGCCGTGCGGTTTGGACGCCAAGCCTGCCACCCCGGATCCTTCTCGAGGCTCGGCGGCATTTCGGCTCTCGCCGCTGTGGCATTATAGGAGGCACGCCCGACGATAAGTCAGTCTGCGAGCACGTGCCTCTCAAAGGCTGTTCTAGTCTCCCCAAGTTCTCGAGTCTTCGCAGTGCTTACGACGTCCCCAAGGCAACCCAATAATTTCACAAGCCAGCTTCAGGGGGCGGCAGGCGGGCTCCCGATATGTCCATTCACGCGCGGCGCGCGCACGTGGCACGGGTTCGGCATTATCGGCGGGAGCTCTGAGAGCATATCGGGTGCGCCCGTCGCCGTCGTCACTCCCGCTGAATCCTCGGCCGCCTCCCGTTGCTGCGAGGCGAAAGGTCTTCCTTCAGAGAAGCTTCACGCAGCTACACAGGCAGCCAACTACCTCGAGGAACACAACTTGGTGAAGATGTTCCAGGAAGCGATGAGAGACGAAGGTGATAAGTTAATCAGTCATAGCATGAGTGCTTGCGAAGAGTGCAAGCCCACCTCATCCCCTTGCAGTACATCGCCATACAGTCACACAGTAGATTGCATGCCCTCGTTGAGTCGCGGCGGCTGCCGCCGTCGTCGTCGCGCTCCCGCACGTTCGGGAGGAGGAATATCATAGTGCGAGCAGGAGGAGGAGAATGAGGAGGAGGGGGAGGAGGAGGAGGAGGAAGGGGGTGGCAGAAGAGGAGGGGTGGTGATGATGATGATGCTGATGATGGTGATTGTGATTGTGATGGTGATGATGATGATGCTGATGATGATGATGATGATGCTTAAGATGATGATGATGATGATGATGATGATGATGATGATGATGATGATGATGATGATGATGATGAGGATGGAGATGAGGATGAGGATGAGGATGAGGATGAGGATGAGGATGAGGATGAGGATGAGGATGAGGATGATGAGAATGATGATGATGATGATGATGATGATGATGATGATGATGATGATGATGATGATGATGATGGTGAGAAAGACGGTGTTCTACCGCTGCTGGCGGAAAACCGGGGGGGTCACTACCGGTTCGAACCCCTCCCCCTCCCCCTCCGGAAAACCGGGGGGGGTCACTACCGGTTCGAACCCCTCCCCCCCCCCACCCCCCCCAGTACATAATGAAAAGGTGGGGGGGGCGGTCACTACCGGTGCGAACCCCCCCCCCCCCCCCCGAACTCGAAAAGGGGGGGGGTCACTACCGGTTCGAACCCCCCCCCCCCTCGAAAACCGAGGGGGGGTGCGGACAGTGGTGGGGACGGTGATTGTGGGGACAGTGGTGGGGACAGTGGGGACAGTGGAGAGTACAGTGGTGGTGGGGACAGTGGTGAAAGCGGTGGCGATGACGGCGGTGGGACAATGGGACAGAGGTACAGTGGGGACAGTGGTGGGGACAGTGGGGACAGTGGTGGGAACAATGGGACAGCTCAGTGGGACAGCGGAGGAGTCAGTGGGACAGTGGGGACAGTGGTGATAGTCGGGCAGTGGTTGGGGCCGTGGAGAAACTTGGGAGAGTGGAGCCGTGGTGAGAACAGTGGTGGGGACAGTGGAGACAGTGCGACAGTGGTGGTGGCACTGGTGGGGACAGTAGGGGCGGTGGTGGAACCAGTGGGGACAGTGGTGGTGAGGACAGTGTGGTGCTGGGAACAACAGTGGGGGATGTGGTGAGGACGGTGGTAGGGACCGGGAGTCGTTTGCTGGCGGGTGAGAGGGGGGGGGGGGGGGGAGGGGTTAGGGGGGCGGGGGGGCGGAGGGAGGGGGGGGGGGGGGTCCAGCAGGGGGGGGGGATTTTCGGAGGGGGGGGGGAGTGGGGACCCCCGGGTTCCGGAGGAAAAGGGCGGCAATTTTCCACAGTAAAGCGGCGGTGGGTCACGCTCTCTCTTTCGATGATGATGATGATGATGATGATGATGATGATGATGATGATGATGATGATGATGATGATGATGATGATGATGCTGATGATGCTGATGCTGATGCTGATGCTGATGCTGATGCTGATGCTGATGCTGATGCTGATGCTGATGCTGATGCTGTTGATAATGATGATGATGATGATGATGCTGATGCTGATGCTGATGCTGATGATGATGATGATGATGATGATGATGATGATGATGATGATGATGATGATGTTGATCATGATGATGATGTTTATAATGATGGTGGTAATGATGATGCTTTTGTTGTTGATGCTGATGATGACGAGGAGGAGGAGGGAAGAGGGAGGAAGAGGGAGCAGGAGGGTGAGTGGGAAGAGGGCGCTCTCGGAGAGCACGGCGCACTGGCGAGTTCCCTTTGCACAGGCTGCGCATGAGTAACCGCCCCGCGCCGCCGAGCTTCGATCCGAACGAGGAGGAGGAGGAGGAGGAGGAGGAGGAGGAGGAAGAAGAGGACGACACCGACACCGACGACGAAGAAGAAGAAGAAGACGGGGACGAGGACGAGGTCCAGGACGACGACAATGACGACGACGACTGCGACCGTGCCGGGCTGTCCGGCGCAAGCCGCCCGCCGTCCCTCCCCGCGCGACGCGCGCGCTGGCGGGTGGGCGCCCCCGGACCCGCCGCGGAGTGCGATGGTCACAGCGCTGTCGCGGGGAGGCGGTGCCCCGAGGGGGCCCCTCCTCGCATCTGCCCCCCGAAGATGGCGAGGAGGAGAGGGGGCAGGAGGAGCAGGAGGAGGGGCGGGGAGACGACAGGGAGGAAGACGCGCACACGGAAGGGAAAGGGCCGTAACCCCAACGCCCGGGGATCCCCCTTGGTGGCGGAGGTGGGGACCCACTCGGGTGCCCCCGGCCCTTCTGGGGACGGGAGGGGGAGGAGGAGGAGGAGGAGGAGGAGGAGGAGGAGGAGGAGGAGGAGCAGGCCAAAGTCGTCGACAGTAGTACGGGGAGGGAGGAGGAAGAGGAGGCTTTAGAAGGAGGAGCAGGATGAGAAGGGTGAAATGGAGAATGAAAGCCTCCACCGTCCCCTCCCTTCCTTTCGCTTCTCTCTTGTACAGCTTCTCCTTCGATGTTGGGCTGCGTGTTTGTGCGTGCGGATTTCATCCGCATTTTTGATGCGGGGCCATCACACAGCCAAGCCACGACTGACAACCGACCACCAGATCTAAGGACCGGGTCGAGAAATCCTGTAGACCACGGTTGACAACAATTCACGGCATATCGCGACGCCGAAGGTGTGGTTTCTCCTGATGTCTCCTCTTGCTCAATCTCCTCCGTCCGCTGCTCCTCTCCCTTTTCTCCTTCTGCTGCTCATCCTGCTTCTCATCCCGCTGCTGCTGCGGCTGCTGCTCCTCGTCCTGAGCCGCCCCCTCCTGATCCTCCGCGCGGAGGTAGGAGAGGAGAGGCGCGATTGGGAGGAAGACAGCCGAGTCGTTGTGATAACGAAAGGTTTGGGTTCGGAAGGGGCTCGCTGTTCCGTAGGTCCTTTCATGTCTGTTCTTCTGGCGCCCCTCGTGCGCCTAGGTGCACAGTAGTGAGAGGAAGAGGAGGGAATCGTAGCGCGGGAGGAGGCGGATGAAGAGCAGGTGGTGGAGTTGCAGGACGAGGAGGCAGAGGAGGCGAACAAGGACACGGGGGAGGAGTATCAGTAGCAGGACGGGGGGGGAGGGTGGCCAGGCCGAGCAACACGACACGAGCAAAGGGAGGAGACGGAAGACGACGACGACGAGGGCAGAAGACGAGGATGAGGAGGAGGAGGAGGAGGAGGACGAAGGCGAGGAGAAGGGGACGAGGGGGAAATGATGACGATCAGGAGCAGCATGAGGACTAGCAGAATGACGCGGTGGAGAACGAGGTTGACTCTCCGGATAAGAGGGCGAGGAAGGCAAGGATGACCAGGATAGGAATGGAGATGTTACCGACGAGGAGGAGAAGGTGCAGGAGGAGGACGAGCACGAGGAGGACTACGACGAATAGCACGATGTGGAGGGTGACGAATGTGTCGGATTCGATGTGACAGCCGATCTAGGCAGTAGGTATATTGGGACGTGGTAGTATGCGATTGAATGCAGTTGTATGCAGTAGCGCATATTCTGCAGCAGCGTTCATGTATTGATTTGAGGTCGTATGCACGAGCACGATCAGATATAGGTTGTAGTTGGCAGTGTACGCGAGTAGTCAGTGGCATGCAGTGGTAGTCTGTACGTAATAGTACGTAGTGGTACGTACCAGTATAGATAGCCGCATGATTATACCAGTAGCATCCGTAGTGGCAGCGGTCAGAGCATGGGGAGAACCATTCGAGAAACGTGCGCCCCGGGAAGGTGTGCGCTTCGAGTGCGAGCGCATGCCCGCGCCTCGGCCTCGCGCCGCTTGCCGCTGGCCCACGTCACGGGGGCTGTAGGGCAGCCTCGATCCAGTACCTCTAACGGTTCGTTTCAGAGGTTCTTCGCACATGTTGGTGTCTGGTTGCAGATTCCAAACCCCAGGACCGTCAGAAAAACTTATTCGGGTAAAAATGTGCCCCCCTCCCAGGGGGAGAGGTCGAGAACTCCAGGGGCCAGTGGCCCGGCACAATTGGCTCCTTTGGTTGAGATCGAGGACGTGTGTGATGTATTGCGGCTCTGCACGAATGAGGTACTTGTGCGCCCTCGTGTCAGGCCGCTGGCTCGCGCCTTCGCGGCAGGCAGCCTCGCCCTTTGATCCAGGATCGAGGTCGAGGTCAATATTGCGGCTGTGCGTGGGCGCTGGCGGAAATCTCGGCCGATTCCCGCATTCCTGGGGAATCGTTTTTGTTGTGGGGGGGGTGGGGGGCGCTTCGACCTCGACTAGGTTCGGTCCCCTTGGAGGGGCCGGAGGCCTTCGTGGTTTTCGCTGGTGTCGAGGCGCCGCTGACGTCGAGGGTCGATCCCCGCACGCATGTGATGTTCCGTGGCACTGTAGTGATCGCTGAAGTAGCGCTTCTTGGGGGAGGGCCAGTCGAGACAGCGGCGGCCCTCGCTGGCGTCTTTCCTTCTTTTTTGGGGCGCCCTGGGGCCCCCTCTTCGCCACGCATGGGGTCTGCCCCGGAAGCCGGGTCGGGAGGTCAGGAGGGACCCGGGGCGGGAGGGGTTCGGGGATCGATTTTGAGCGGACCTGGGCTGAGCGGGGAACTAACTGGGGAAGGCCGCCGTTCTCTCGGCTGGCCCTCCTCCAACGTGCGTCCTCGTGGTGACTCGGGTGTGCTGGCGTTCGCGCGCGAGCGCGAAGGCTAGGCGAGCACACCCGGGGGCCTTGAAACGAAAGGCCTCGCCCCCTGCGCGGGTGCCCTACTCGTACGGGGGCTCGCGGGCCCACGCTGCCCGCTTGCCTTCGTGTTGCGCTCACGTCCGCGGTTGGCCGTCGCGCAGGTGCTGACTGGAAGGGGTGACGAGCATCTCAGGGGAGGGGGCGGAGGAGGCGCAAGAGAGCGAGATCGAGGAGGTGGGGGAGGAGGCATGCCGCCTCCTATCCGATGCTGGAAAAAGGAAACTTCCTCCGTCCGTTTCACTGCTACACAATCAGCCCCTGGACATTGGAGTGGATTGCGTCTCGAGCGAGAACCCCATTTTGAAAGGGAACCGTCTTTCATCCGTGTGATTGTTGAGCAGGTGCTTTCAATTTCTCGTCACACATCTAAGGAGGTCTGAAGCGCCCCCGCCTTTTGAGAAAGAATCGCCCGCCATCCTCGTAGCCGTTGCAAGTGCTTCATGCGAGCGTGCGCGGAGCCAAGAGAACACCCGGGCACTTGGATCACGGGCCGCCCTCGTTCCGCGTAAGCGCTGGAGATTGTTTAATCAAGTGTGCGCGGCGTGAAGGCCAGAGTCATGGCTTGGGGGGGGGCGTTCAGAGAAGTGTGCGCGGTGTTCGGACGACAGCCGCATCTTACCCCCCGACCCTCCGTGCAACCGCTGGGCCGTCCCAGCCCCAAGACCACTTACCGCGAGGTGGTCTCGAGCGAAGCGCCCTGCCCGCCGACACTGGCACGCCCAGCGACTCGGCGAAAATCAGCTATGTAGAGAGGACGGCAGGGAGCCTCCGACGTCTTGACTTCTTCCCTGGACCCCCAGTGGCCGAGGAGGTCAGGAGGACGGCGAGGGAGGGCGGGAAGAGCTCTCTGTCAGGACGGCGCGGCGAGCAGGAATTCTCTGTCAGGAGGAAGGCAGGGAGCACGGCGAGTGCAAGGTCGGCGCCCTCCCCCGGGGGGGAAGGGGGACGAGGAGAAGGGAGGAGGGGGTGTAGGACAAGCTAGGTGCGCTCGCGTCGTATCTGACGTCCTACCCCTCCCTCCCATCCCTTACCATGGCGCTGATTTTCTCTATCCGCGGACGCGTGTCGTAGCGGACCTGTGGCTCCGCGCGCGCGTGCGTAGTGGGTGGTGGTGCGCGTGCGTGCGTGCGTGCGTGTGTGCGTGGTTGTGGTGGTGGTGGTGGTGGTGGTGGTGGTGGTGGTGGTGGTGGTGGTGGTGGTGGTGGTGGTGGTGGTGTGTGTGTGTTGGTGTGTGTGTGTGTGCGTGTGTGCGTGTGTGCGCGTGTGCTGTGGCCTGACACGGGAAATGACGCCAGCGCTGCAGCGGGAGCACGAGTCGAAACGAGCGGAAGCGCGGAAATGAGGCCAGCGCTGCAGCGGGAACACGATTCGGAACGAGCGGAAGCACGGAAATGAGGCCAGCGCTGCAGCGGATGCGGAACGAGCGGGGCCCTAAAATGAGGCCGGCGCTTCAGCGAGAGCAGCATTTTGAAAAACAGTGCAGGCGAAAACCCAATTCCCGGGAATCTTGTGTGTTTAGAAATAGTACGCGGGGGGGGTCTGCTATTCCCAGAACGCCATCAGGGGAAGAGGGAGAGTAGTATTCATATTAAGTAATTGTGGATGAAGATGAGGAGGAGGATGAGGAGGATGAGGAGGAGGAGAAGGCGGAGGAGGAGGAGGAGGAGGAGAAGGAGGAGGAGGCGGGGGGAGGAGGAGGGTGAGGAGGAACTTTTCTCTTCCAGGGGGGAGTGGGCGGCGGCGCGACGAGGGAAGGGGCGCGGAAACGCCGGTAGCGACCGAGGTCGGCGCCCTCGCCCCCTGTGACGCCGCAGGGCGGCCGCTCGCGGAACCGCGGGTGCGGCAGGTTCACGGAGCGGCCCACTGCGGGAAGGGGTGGGGGGGGGGAAGAGGGCGAAGAGTTGGAGGAGGAAGAGGCGAAAGGGGAGGTGAAACGGGGAGGCGAAGAGGAAGAGGCATAGGGGAAAGGGATGGGGGCAGAAAGGGGGGAACAGAGCGGAGAAAGGGGGCGGGAAAAGGGGACAGGGATGGGGGCGGGGAGGTATCGGGGGGCAGGGCGTAGAGAGAGTGGAGTGGAAGGGGAGGGAGGAGGAGGGCAATAAGGGCGGGCACGGGGATTGGAGCGGAGAAAACGGGAGGGGGGGAGATCTTTGATGCGCGGGGGAGAGTGGTGGGGGGGATTTTTGAGGGGCGGGGGAGAGAGTAGGAGGAGGGAGGGGGAACCAGGGGAGCGCAAGCGGGGATGTGTCCTTCGATGGCCCTGATGGGCCCTGGTGTGTGGGTCCCCCTCCGTTCCCTTTGTCTCTTCCCTCGCTCGCCCGTGCCCAGCCATTGTGGTTTAGACGTTGGAAGCAGTTTTCTGTCCCCTAGTATCTCGGATGGAAAGATTACCTGGCAACACGCTCAGGCATATTGATCCCGGACACGTCCATACATCGGTGACAGATGGTAGCATCCCTGACATCCTCGCGTCGCGCAACAGTCACGGCCTGACCTGTTTGTGCATGTTCTGCTGCCGTGGGTCCCAGGGCCGTCCAAAAACGACGCACCAAGACGAGAAGTGGCGCGTATGCCCGCGGTGGCAGAGGCTATGGGTCTATCGGAGGGCGCTCAGGAGACAGGGGCTGCCAGCACTGCGTCACAACGGCAACCTAGATCGCCATGTTCAGCCCGGTGGGAAGAGGTCCGCGCCCCACCGAAAACGACAATGGTAGTTCAGACCGAAGGTCCATCGTCGAGGCCCTTGGGCACCCCCTGCACATCCTGGAATTGGCCTTCACCGTGGTCCTGGACGGCTCGCTGGTGGGCGACAGACCATCACGCCGACGCGGAACAGCAAATGGAGATATCGTTGCACAAATATGATTGGGATGCGACAGCGTGAAGTTGGAAAAGTCCGTGGTCCTCAGGGGACTACACACCCAACCGTGACTTCGGGGCTCCACCAACCTGGCTCGGGTTCGGCAACTTCGAGCTGTACAGGCACCATTTAAAAGCATGGGCGAAGAGGGCTGGCTTTCAGCCATAGGCTCGTGTCGGCCGAGTGTTCGCGGCTCTCCCCGTGGACCTGCAGGCGAAGTTCGCTGGGGTGAGGGAGGAGCTAGATAGCGACGAGGGTATCAACAACCTGCTGGACCACATGGCATGGTTGAGCGGTGAGCGCCCGGCGACAAAGAAAGTTTAGCACACAACGCAGCTTTGCTCGATCATCCGATGAGGAAAACGAGACGTTGACCGAGTTTATATTGCGGTGATATGCCCGGGTGCAGAAAGCAGAACGACACCAGACTTTATTTCGAGATGCCGTGTTGGCTCGATACTTGGAAGAGGGCGCGCGTCGATCTGCGCGGAACCGCACTAGTGTGACGACGCTCGCGGGAGGCAAGGGAGACAACGCATCGATCACGGCGGCCATCCTGAAGCTAGATGCGAAGGACAAACCGGTATTGCCGACGACGCACGTGACAGTGAACGGCTTTCCCGCCGAGGCCGAGGATGACGGCTCGACTCCGCCGGCTTCGCGGGGCCCGGGTTCGATCTAGGACTTGCGCTTCCCCGCGGACCTGGGCGACTCCGTCCAGCGGGCCGAGCAGGCGGAGGGAGATCTCGACGCCCTTCTTGCCGCGCTGGACGAGCAGAATCTAGGCGAGACCAAGCGCCTTCAAGTTGCGGCGGCGGTCGTCGAGGATCGACTGCGCAAGGGCGAAGAGAGAGCGCGGCGAGAAGCTCGTCGCATGGAGCCGACGAAGAGAGCGGATCGATATTTATTCGATCGACGCCCGGCGGCACCTCCTGGATTCGAGAGATTGACGATGACCGACGCGACGCGGATAACCTGGTGCGCCAGCCGCGGAGATCGAGGTAACCGGGCGCAGACATGCAATGATCCTCATGAGTTGCTCTAACGCAGGCAAGCTGCCTGGCAAGAACTGCGACCAGAGCGGAAAGAAAGGCAGTTGCTTCTAAGGCGTGACCCGAGACGGGGGCGATTTCTCGGGCATCTCTCTTCAGGGGCGGAACTCGTTCCCCGATGCTTTCTCCGTGACCTCTCGAAAAGGCTGAGTTGTCCTTCGAATTCCAGGGCGACCGCGGCGAGGTCGACGCCGGGACGGCCTTGGCACTGATGGGATGCGAGGACTTGGCGGTGATGGTGAATGCATTTCGTCGTCGGGGACCCCGCGCCTCGGTCAAGCGGGGGCCCGTCGAGGGAGCGGCGGCAGGTGGTGTCGGCGGACGAGCGAAGCCCGCGGCAAGGGCCTGGGTGCCCGTGGGCATCTGGAAGCGCGGCGCCGTGGAGTTTCTGGCCCTGCATGGCCGCTGCCCCCCGCTACTTCCATCGCGCCCCCTGGGGGCGCCGTCGCCGCGGTGGGTCCGGCGAGCGACGCGATCGCCCTCGGCGACAAGGGCGTCGCGAAGCTGCCGGTGTTCAGGCCCCCCGCCGGGCGCCGCTCAACCAGCCGGATGCGCTGCGAGCCCGAGGCCTTCAGGTTCGACCCAGAGGTCCTGGGCCATATCCACATGGACGCGACGCAGGGCGGCGCGGTGGGCTCGGTGGCGGGCAGGCGCCGCGATCAGTCAGACCTCTTGCCTCTCTCCTTCGTTCGCGCGTGAATCGGCGCTCGGGGGGCCCCTTGGGCGCCCGGGGTCGGCGGGCGGGAGTGGCGGGCCTGAGCCCGTAGCCCTCGCGGCTCCAGTTCGGACCAGAAGAGGCCGATGACCAGAAGAGGCCGATGACCACGGTGAAAGGTGCGCTTCGGAAGAGAACTCCGGAGGTGGCGCGCGCGAGACCGGTCTCGCAGCTTGCGCCCGTGCGCGACAGCGACGAGGAGCTGATGGAACGAGGGCTTGACTGACTCTAACAGAATGGGCTTCGGCACTCGCGCGCGCGCGATTCGAGCGGCGCGCGAACAGGGCAGCTACGTAGGACCCCGCAGTTGCAAATGAGAGCGAGGGGGCGGCGGGGATGTTGGCAGTCAGCAAGGCGTTGAAGATTCCCGCCGCAGGCGCCAAATTCGCACCAATTATACAACGAGAAACTCAACTCCCTCTGGGAGGGCCCCCCACCGGCATTTCAAGGGCTCGATGTGACGGCCGACGAGATGACCGAGCAGATGAAGAGGGCCCTCAACGACGGCTGCGAGATCCTGAGTCGGACGCAGCCGGCGAGGCGCCGGTTCGGGCTGCGTCTGCATCGCACGCCGCAAAGCTGCCGCGAGACTCATGGGGTCGCGATCGCGCGGGCGCAGGCGGTGGATCAGAACTGCATCGTGGGCGGCACTGCGGCGGGGCATTGCGCGCGTCCGCCGCGGGCGGCCAAGGGGCGCCCCAACGCGACTGGCGTTTGCTGCCGCTGCCTGATACGCGGCTAACGCCACTCGCTCGGGGTCAAAACGCCCCGCGGGGAAGCGGCGGACCATGCCGAGAAGCACGCGAAGCAGATCAAGCAGGAGACGCACCTCAAATTCAAGAAGGAAGCCAAGGGGCCCGTGGAGGAGCACGCCCGGGGCGTTCCCTGAACGGCGCGGGAGGTGCTTGGCGGTGGCGCCAGCGGCCAGGCGCAAGGTCTGGCCAGCGACGCCGGGCACGGGCTCGGCCGGGCCAGGTCCGACGCTGGACGCGGCCGGGGACCTGGCGCAGCGCAGTGCGGGAGTGCTCGAGCCTTCTCAGCTACCTCCCAGGGTCAGCCCGACGGCCGCGCCGCCGAGAGCGCCCGACCAGGCGCTGGCGACGCTGGCGCTCGACGAAACGCAACTCCAGGCGGCGCGGATGAAGGCGCTGCTGGGCCAGATGCGCGCGCCGTCGGAACAGCTCAACCAGGCGCGGGGCGAGGTGGGGCAGCAGGGGGTCGCGCGCATGAGCGGCCCCGTCAGCATGGGCGACGAGGAGATCATGAGGCTGGCGCGCATGATTCGGCACGCTGACAAGCTGAACCATGTGGGGGCGGAGGGGCTGGGAGCCGAGCGCGACGCGGAGGGCGAGCCGCGCCTGGGCTGAGGAGCTCCAGGGTGAGCCTTGAGGTCTGGCTGGGCCTAGGACAGAAGCAATCGATTCGTCGTTTAGGTTCTGGCTCGCCCCGGGGGATCTCGGGGCCCAGACCGTTCGGGATCAGATGAACTTTGGGCCCCTGGGAAATCGATCGATGCTCGGGGCTTCTGGGATCGGGCCCGAGGTGGGTTCTCGACGAAGTATGCGAAAGTCTCGGGTGGAAGTCCAGGGTCCTTGGCGCGCTGGGCCGGTCCGCTTTCTTCGCGGGCATTGCTCTAGCTCGTGGCGGCGGGGGGTTCCAGGGGCCTCTCCTGCCTCGGGGAATCTACCACCGAGCTCGGGATTGGGGCGGCCTAGACGTTTTTCTAGACCGCGCCCGGCGACAGACGTCGCAGTTCGAATTGGAGCGGCCCCAGGCAACGCTGGTCGAGCGAGTTCGGGGCGGAGGCGCGGGCGTCGAGGCGAGACCCGAGGGCCGCGAGCGTAGATGAACTTAGCAGCTCTTGGGCCCGGGAGGATGAGGAAAGACGGAATGGACGTCGCGGGCTCAGACGGACTCAGAGGGCTCGGGCATCGGGGCAGGGAATCTCCGGCGGCCGCGAGCATGGCCGTCATCGAAGGGGTCGGCTGCGATTTGACGGAGCTCGCATGGTCCAATCTTCGGGCGCTGCTACGCGTTGGAGGTCAACCTTTTTCTGGCTCCAGGAGCTTCTTCGAAACGGTTGATTGCGGGGTCCCTAGGAAGGTCGGGCACGCGGCGCCCCGGGCCCTGGACGGCTCGGGACTCGCTAAGAGGCATTCGCGGCGACGCAGGCATAGTCGGGCCAGCGAGGCGAGGCGAGGCGGCACCGTTATCCCGGA